AAAAAAAGTAATTAAATATTAAGAAATGTAGTCATTGGATTGTTTATCTAATATGATTGCTGATGACATTCAATTAAGAGATGAAGTTATTCATGTTAAATTAATTGAAATAATTTTGGTACGAGATATAATTAATAGTAGTGTTGGACATTTAATTGAAGCACTTCTCAAAGGAAGACCATTCATTTCAGTAAGTAAAGTATGTCAACTTATTCCAATAATCACAAAATTCCAAGTATGTGAGGAAGGGGTTATTTGTACTCGACTACTTTTAAATATGTCAAATGAAATTATTGATAAAATGATTATTTCTACTCTCCAAATGATTATTGGTCAAGCATCAACTTCATTAGCTTGTTTTCAGTGTATAGGAACTATTTATGCAACTGATCATCCAACTTTAATTTCTTTATTTATTAAACCAACAATAGAAATACTCTTTCAATATGCAACAATGATTAGTGATTCATTAAAAATAAAAACACCAAGATCAAGTTTACGCTCAAACCTATTAGTAGATGAAACATCAATTAGAACATTTTTATGGACAGTAGAAAATTTATTTGCTACTCTTTGTGAATTAGATAAAAAAGAAGCACATTCTATTCTTTCAATATTAATTCCAAGTAAAATCATTTCATCAACAATTCTATGTATTTTTGATCAATCAATTAATGTTTGTAGAGAAGCATTTTCAACAATACATTCAATTATAACAATTATTTCAAATATTCCACAACTTATTATTACATTAATTAATACTGATAAATTTTTTGATATATTTGAAATATTATTTATACAATTAGAGCCAAATGAAGTTTATCATCTTTTAGAATTGACTCTCATTTTAGTTTCTTCTCAAAATACTCAAATCATCTTGGAATTAACTGAAAGAAATGTTTTTGAACAAGTAGATTTATTTACTACATCAAACAATACTGAAATTGCTAATCTAGCAGAAGAGATTCTTAGAATTGAACATCTTTACAATTTTAACTCAGATGAATTTGAATTATAATCAATTCATTATTCATGTATTTGGCTCAACCAAATCAACATTAAAAATAAACTGTTTTAGAATATACTTTTGGTTGTTAATTAATTCAAACAAGTTCTTTTTCTGCTTTCCTTTTGATAATCCAATCATATTCATAATCAAATATAATAGAATTATTCTGTGCAACTTGTTGAAAAATATGTCTCCAAAAGTCATATTTTGGCTCTTCATCAAATTTTAAGTTTCGACAATATGAAAGAAATGAACCAAATTCAGAAGGAAGGTTTTCACATAACTGACTAACAGGAATTTCAACTTTTTTTGAATAAATTTTATTATATCTATTTTCTCCTTTAGCAACATGTAATCCTTGCCATGGAAGAGAACCTCTAAGTAAATAAATAACTGAATAAGCAAGACTTTCCATATCATCTCTTCTACTTTGTTCTATTCCTAAATGATTATTTAATGACGCATATCTAGCTGTTCCAGTTAATGATTTGTCTTCAGAATATGAAATATGCTCTTTATTTTGATTTAGATATCTTTGACTAAGTCCAAAATCAATCAAATAACATACATGAGATTGTTCACCATTTCCCATAATAAAATTATCTGGTTTAATGTCTCTATGAATATATCCTTTAGAATGAACAAATTGTAATCTTTTCAACATCTGATTGAGTAACATAAGAACTGTTTTTAAACTAAATCTTCTCCCACAGTAGTTAAATAGATCTTCTAATGATGGTCCTAGACAATCCATAACTAATACATTGAAATCCCCTTCTTGTCCATAATAATAGATTCCTGAAATTCCTTCATGCTCTTCTTTCTTATCTCCTATTAATTTTTGGTATAGCTCAAACTCATCTTTTAATTGTGGATGTTTACATTTGAGTAATTCTAGTTTAATGGCAACTTCATTGTGGAGTTCTACATCAGTTCCTAGATATACATCCCCAAATGACCCACTCCCTAATTTTTTTTCTAATTTATATTTATTTGCAACAACAAACATAAATTCTGTCATTCTTTTTAATCCTCTTTTTCTCTTTAAATACACTCCTTAGTGTTGTCTTTCTGAGACTTGTCATCTTGATAATCTCGGTCTATTTTCTCCAATTTTTTTTGTCATTAAAAACATAGTGATAATTAACTTATTTAATACTATAATCTTATATTACAGATTATTAACATTTATTCTTTCAGAAGCCAAGCTCATCTTGAAATATTCTTTATTACTGTTTTAAAATATTTTCGACACATTCTATAAATTGTAATGTAGAACCAATAATTATTTTCAGCCATTGTTCTATACAATGATTTGAGCTATATTGCTTATTACAATTATTTCAACAAACATAAAAAAATACTTCAAAGAAAGAAATGGGTGATTTGAAAGAAGTGGTAATCCAAATTAATATTCTTAGAACAAGTGTTTTATTTAAGTTCAGTTTGTATTTATAATTATGTTCTGTCTATTTTCTTATTCGTTTGTTACAATATTCTTTTATTCTAAAAAACTTCTTTCTTTAATAGTTATAAAGAAACAACACAATTAAAGAATCTGAGATTGGACAATAATATTGTTGAAGAATGTGACAATACCACTATCTATTTCATTGTTAGTCTTGTCTTTAAGAATTATTGGTGAGTCGTTAATCAATTCGTTTTTCAAATAAAATTTCTATAGATGGAATTTATCAAATTCTTGTTTTTATCCTGTTCCGATTCGATAGTCCATTTGCATATTCAATAGTATTATGTTTTTAATAATATAGAAATTGTATGATATAAAAATGTGATTGTGTTAATGAAAAGCATTACAGAAGTTTAGCTTAGATATTAACATTTTTATGTTATTTTATTTTTCATATCTACGAATTTCTATGAAACAGCTATTTATTCTTAACTCTTCAGTTGAACATTTTGTGTTGTGAATCATTAATTGTCTGTCATTTGTTTTAATCTGAACAATATCTTGTTGTATAGAAATGTGACTTTCTTCTTCTCACGTACTTAGTTAATAAGCAATTAGATAGAATATTTCAAAAATTAGATAAAAACACGTACAAATCAATGCCACATAAAAAATTGATGCATTATTAAATAATGACATTTTTCATGTATCTTTAAATTTTAATTTGTTTCATAAACACAATCAATAGAGGTTAACATGGTAATCTTCAAGTTATTACTTGTGACATAACAAATTATTTAACATCAAGAGAATGTTTATTATACTAATTCAAATACAATAATCATTTATTTTAAAAGAGTGGTTATTGATTAAAATAACTAAAAAAACTCCAAGAAGAGTTTCAAATGAATAATTTAATTGTTGTTATTTCTTTTAAAAGAGTTACTCTATTTGCTATTGACTAAATAATTGGTTTTGTTTATTTCTTTCAATGGTTAGATATTTTATTGTATTTGAATGGAAAATGAAAGAATTAAGCATTTTATTAATTCTTAATCTTCTAATAACTATTTAATGATAGATAATCATACCTCTATCAACAAACAAAGTCTCTCTTATTCAAGAAAATAAATAAACAATATTTGATATTAATCATAAAAAAAGGAATTTCATTTATCATTATTTAAACATTGACCTAGTTAAACATATCATGTAGATGTTTGTTTTAAAGTACTGAAGCGTTATAAACTATACACTTCAATAACCATATGTAATATCAATGTAATATTAATAATATTGTGTATCACATCATTACTAGGTTTAATAAGTCATGGTAAAAGAATGTATGACCCACACACCAAAATATAACACCAAACTAGTTTGTTTAACTTGAATTAAATAGAAAGGAAATGACAAATGAAAGAAGAGTCAAAATAGAAAATGACATAAAAAACCAAAAAAAGATAAAACAAAAAAAAAA